AGTTCTGATACCGCATGTATGTTTATACACAATAATTTCTCCCACACAAGAGAAAAGAATACATTGTCTGCAAACCAATCATGATAATGAATTATTGAATCCAAACTCATCAAGATTACAAAAAAAATACCTCTTTAAGCAATATTCCTAAATATTTATTGAAATAATTTCCCAATAAAACAATCAAATTCAAAATTAAAGGACACATCGCACCAACCCTAATTGATCGGCACCTTCCCTTCTGCACTCTCAGCTCCCATTGCAAATCCCTCAATCCTCTCCCTCAGCACCTCAATCTCTTCATCGTCCTTACCCATCATAATCCTCGCCATCTCCTTCGCCCTTCTCCTCACACCCTCCCCTTCCTCCCCCACCACCACCTCCCTTATACACCTCGCCAACTCCTCTCCCCTAAACACACCACCCCCCTCCTCCTTCTTCACCTTCACCGCAACTCCAAGCTCCACCATCAGCGCAGCATTCAATGGCTGATCAAGCTGCAACGGAATCGCAATCATCGGCACGCCATGTCTCATCCCTTCGATCACCGAGCTCCAACCGCAATGCGTTACAAACCCACCCACGCTCGGATGCGCCAAGATGTTCTTCTGCGGAGCCCATCCCTCCACTACCAATCCCCTGTCCCACGAAAACCCCATCGGCCGCCCCCGATCGCCGTCGCCGCCGTTGAATCTGACCACCCATATGGAGAAAAGCCCGCATAGATTCAACCCAATAGCCAGCTCTTCCATCTCACTCTCCGTCATGAAATACTCCGTGCCAACAGAGACGAACACAACCGTACCCTTCTCCTTACTGCCCAGCCACTCCAATTCCTCGCGTCCCTCGGATTCAAAAACGGCGGAGACGAGCGGCCCGACTGGAATAACTTCCTTTCCGACGAGCGATGAAAGGTATTCTATGTACCTTGCTTCGATCTCACTAAAACTCCTTACGGCTATGAATTCTGTCGAGTTATTGATGCATTGAATGAATCGCTCGCCAGCAGTACTGCCGTTGGATTCCTCGTCAAGCAAATCTGCGAAATCGGACTTGTTAGGGTTAGCTAAAAAGGGGAATTGCTCGTGCGGCGGGCGAAGGAGAGAGTGGACGAAGAACGCGGAAGCAGAGGAGGACAAGGCGAGAAAGAGGATGGCGGGGACGTGAAGGCGAGAAGCGGCGAGAGGAGCCCATGGAAGAACGAAGTCGTAAATGAGGAGGTGGGGGGAGAGGGAAACGAGGAGGCGGGAGAAGAAAGGGGAGTATTGATCGAAGGAGGCTTTGAGGATGGGCATGAGATGGGAAGGGAGGTTTTTGGTGGTATGGAGATGTGGGGGGAGATGGTCGGAGGGAAGGTGGAGCTCGGTGAGATGTATGCGCGGGAAGGAGTCGGAGTTTAGATTTAGGGATTTGAGGTTAGCTGGTGTTGAGCAGAGGTAGATGGAGATGTTAGGGTTGGTGGAGAGTTTCTTGGCTAGCTCGAGGAAGGGGGAGATGTGGCCGTGAGCTAGCCATGGGAGCATGACGATGCGGAGAGGCGGTTGATTTGGCTGGACGGCGGCCATTATCGGAGCTTGATGGTGATTATGAGGGGAAGGGGTTGATTAATACTTGTGGTGGTGTTTATAGAGGCTGACTGAAGGGCAGAATTGTTCCATGAAGGAGAGCTGATGAGTCAGCTGACACGTGTAAGCTGCAAATACAGGTGTCGCTTCTTGGTGCTTTAATGTGAATTTCTTATAAAGCAGCCCAAAACTCTAACATATTTATATGTATCAGACCTAATCTTTCATATTTATATATAGGTAGCATTTTGATCATGAAATATATAGTATATTTCATTTTTAAAATGTATGATAATATTAATTTTTTGGAAAATTTACATGCAATTTTTATGCATTTACATATCTCACACCTAAAATTTCATATTTACTCCTATATCACTCTGCCTATGCATGAAATTGTGGATTTAAGTTATGAATAGTAATAATTAGGGGTAGATTTTGATGTGATGGGGAAAAAGTGAGTGGTATGTGAGTAAATATGAAGATTTTAGGGGAGAGATATGTAAAAACATAGGAATTTTGAGTGTTATGTGTGCAAATATGAAAACTTAGGTGTGAGATATATGTAAGCAGATAAGAATTGGAATTGTGAACGTATGAAGTAAATATGTGAGAGTGTTTCTTAATTCTAAACAAACATCACATTCAATTGGTATAAGCACATTTTAGACAATTCGAGTTTGGATTGTTCAACAATATGATGTCATGATGTGCCGAGCTTTTATTAGTACATTTGAGTACATGCGGTGCCAACAAGACACAATGGCATGTCATTTAGGAACACAAGGTAAGGGCTAATTTGTCTGAGTTAGGAAAGACACATTGTGTTTCCATTAGTACACGTGGTGGAAACATGTACATTATGGCCTTGTCTTGTGATCGGTTTTTACTGCTTTGATTTCCTAGTCTTATCATGATGATTTGTAATGAAAATTAGCCATCCTACATAGCCCAAATTTATTGTTTCTTTCACTAGATATTTCTTCAATATGTATGATTCTCAATCATAAAGATAAATGCAAAGTATATATTATTAAATCACATTAGAGTTTGAATTTATCTTGAGAGGCATGTCGAGTTAATTTATAGTCCAAATGAGGCCTATTGGCAAATAAAGAAAGAATTTGTATCATTCCATCGGATGGCCTAGGGTGATCCACTCGATCGATTGATGTTCTGTAGATATTTGAAGGCCTTAATGTTGTCATAATTGTGAGATCTTTGGTTTATTTGATTCATCTGATCAAGATGCTCAATTTGAATATAAACTTGTCAATTTGAAATTTGTTTAACTTTTCAATCAGACACCAGAAACATTAAAAAATAGTAATATGACTTGATATGGGCTTAATTTGACTCTAATCAAACCAATTTTAGTGACATTGTATTCGTCTCGTCGAGGTGATCAGTTTGATTGTAAATTTGTTGGAATTGAAGTTTTGGATTATTTTTAATTGCAGTTTAAAAATTATTTGCTAAAAAAATTACGTCTAGATTCGCGTTGCGCCTCAAAATTCATGTTGTTGATGGAATATCATATATATATGATTAAATCACATTTAAGTTTGCTTTTATCTCGAGAGAGAATCTATTGATACTTCGTCTAAGAAATTCTCATGAATAAAAATTCACATATGTACACAATTCTAATGAGTAATATCTATATATTATACAATATATATGCGAAATGCAAAATTTTATTTAAATAAATTGTATATTTATAGAATATGATTTCTAGTAGGCAGTCAACTCGGTATATTCCATCAAATTAACATTTATTAGTCGGACTTGTATCTTCATATTATTACATAACTTATATATTCATAGAATGTGATTTTCATCAGCCAATCAACTCAGCATACTCCATCAAATCAAACATTTTTAGGCCGGTCATGCACCATTTTATTTACGTAACCTGTATGTTTATAGAATATGGTTTCTATCAGAAAATTAACTCGACATATTCTATCAAATCGACATTTATTAGTCTAAAATGAATCCTCACATTCATTAGTATGAATTGTATATTCACATCATTATTAAACTTATATGTTTATAAAGTATAATTTTCATGAGCCAATCAACTTGGCATACTCCATCAAGTTGGTATCCATTAGTTTAATTTGTATTTTCACATGATTATATATATATATATATATATATATATATGTACATGCGAAAGATCCGACTCACTAGTGTGGGCTCTGGTATAAGTCTCTCGGGTCGGGAGTTCGAATCTCATGACGTGGGCTCTTCGAATCAGAATCAAGCACTCTGAGTTTTCAACCCATATGGGAGAATTGATATTTGATGTCCACTGGATCAAATATCGATTTCACCTTTAATATATATTCATTGT